GGTAATCTCTGTAGTTAGTTGTGGTTACTTGAGAGATTACTTCTGATTTAATATATTCCACAGCCTCATTCAATTGCCTTGTTGCCACATTGAAGTAACCTAGCATTGGATTTTCAAATTTTCCAACCTCATTTCCCCCCAGGTTTGCTTTGGTGGCCTGGGTGCCAGAGGATTAGTCTGATTTGTGTGTTCTCATGTCTTTTCTCTTTCAATTGAATTCCTGGAGTGATACTTGCTAGTTTCCTAACAGTATGAACTGAATTCCTGAACATAAAACAGAATGCAAACAATCATAAACAATATATGAATTCATGATATGTCCAATCTGTCCTCAAGGGTTAAGATTCAAAATATATTTTGGAGCAAGAAGAGTACCATGAACAATGGCCAAAGGGAAAGAGATTACAAACAAAGGAGATGGTAGATGGATCCCATCTACTGGGGGAAACTAATGCAGAAGACTAAATGAGATTTGAAAGAGAAAAATTGAAATCCAAACAAAAGCATAACCACAAGGAAGTAAGGAATCACAGTCACCCTCAGAAATTAAGAACAAAATAAAGGAGAAATCAAAAGCAGAAGAATAAAACAAGAAAATACCAAACCAAAAAGAAAAATGAATAAAAAAAATCATTCTCTTCCAGGATTCTCTCTGGATTCATTATTAGATACCCTATGGATAGAGTGTTCTGAGTTCTGCCATTCTTTCCCTTCAAACCAGGCATGGCATTTTGATGGAGTAGTAGACAGCATTAGCCAGCCTGCCTCAAGACGAGACTCATTGGAATAAACTCATTCCAATCAATTTCCATGTGTCTGCACCCAACTAGGGTCTTCTAAAGGAAGCCAGCAGCTGTTCTGGTTAAGGTTCATCTGACTTCACTTCAACATGGCTCCCGCCAAACATTCCCTCGCGCTGAATGACAAAATCCTTCTCCATTCTGTGTCAGACAGTAAAGACCTCGTTGTCTGCTGCTTACCTACACTGCTGAGTCTCTCAGCATTGTCCACTGGAATCACTAGCTGCCACTGTTACCATGAACAAGAGTCCCCAGGTCCAAACATCTCCCCTCACTAGTGTTGATGATTTCCTGATTCTGCAATAACTAGCATAACCAAAATAGGTTCAATGCCCATATCAGTACAATACCCAACAATCATCATTGCTGTGCTCTCTTAGTTAATTTTAGGTTCTGAGTTTTATACAAGATATGTGCACTAGTTGTAATTCAGTTGTGTAGATTTTGATATTTCTACATTAAGAAGATACTTTCTTGTACAAAATGACAAGAAAAATAGAAATCATGGGTAATTTGCAATTAATTTTCTTCTCTATAGCTTCTTTTATAGATATCAGCATAACACTCACTATCAGAGATAAACACACACACACAGACACACACACACACACACACACAGCACACACAAAGTGTATTAAAACTAACGAAATGGAAGCTCTTGAAGTGCCTTTTAAATAGGGTAAAATTTTTCCAAAATTAACCCTTCTTAGAATATTGTATAAGTTTCTTCCTTGGATACACTGTGGAATTCCATTTGCATGGAAAATGTCATCAGCCTTGTAGGAACATTTTGTACATTTTTTCACTAATTCTCTTTGTGTAGCAATGCCTTTTAAACCAGGCTGATGAAAGGTGGGAAAATGCTGCTTTTGTTTCTAATCCAGCCCTAGAGCTGTGTTAGAACTGAATGGGCAAAAATTTTTCCACATTCTTGTGTACACATACAAGAGTATTGCCTGGCATATACCTTGTGATACGTAGTAAGTTGCTGTTTATTGAGATTGCAAGATGACAGCATCAAGAGTAGGATGAATTACAAGTGCAAAATGGAAAGTAAAGAGGAATAGAATCTTTAAAGATTCAGGGTTACAGTACCTAAGAATTTAGACCGAGATGTCTTCCACAGAGGTGTGATAAGGCTAATCCATGTGCCTGCTTTCAAGGTCAGGTACATTTGGCTCCTGTTGCTTCCCATTTTGGTTAGAAAACTCTAAATCTGTTCCATGTTTTCCTAGGGTTGTTGATTTTCTGAGTGAGAGATCACTACATGCTAACTATACACATAAATAATCAGTCATATTGTGATTAGACTTGAATGTAGGAAACGAAATGGTTCATGCAAGTTTACTATTTGTCACTAGTCTCCTACCACTTTCATCATCCGGGACTCCTGGATAGATACTTTATTTATTAGTGTGTTGTTTGCACATAAGAGTTGGAAGTGTCACAAGATGCCTTCACTAGTAGCTCGAGAATGTGTGACACAAAACTTTGGATGATACAGGTAAATTGGTGCCTCCGGGGACTTTGGCAGGCCTTTCAGTGCTTGCCAAATGCAGTTGGTGATTTCCTTGCTTCAGAATGCCTGTACAGTTATGGCAAATTCTTGTTCATCTTCTGTCATATATTTTTCTTAGAATTAAGCAGTCAAACAAGTGGTTTCTTCAAAAAAGTCTTCTGCTAGTAATGTTGGATTAGCATTAACCCCCATCGAATCCCAACATCACAGAGGGATGATTGTTTTCTGGAAATGGGAGCACATCAGCCTTCAAGAGTTCACCACTGTGACACCAACTGGGGGAATGAACACGCATTCTCAGTCCTAACTCCTAACGCTTAACAGCTGGCATGTCATTCTCACAAGAGTGTTAATATAGCGCCATATCTCACTGGTTGCCCTTCAGCCACTTAAGCTGCAGTTCTTGCCTGGTTCCTCTGTAGAATTGCAAGGAAAACATTCTTTTGGTCAATTTGTACATTCAATATAACTTCTGTTTCTATGAAGCACTTGACAATAAGTCACTGTAACACATATTTGTACTCAGAGAAGCAGAGAAGACCTGTGCTTGCCCTGAAAAATCTTCTGCCCTAATCCACTTTGCTCCATTCATTTCACTATGAGGAAATTACACTTTGTAAGTTATTTTCAATGTTTTTTGCTGTTCATTTGAGGCAGTGACAGAAACTCATACTTTTTAATTTCCACATTTCATGTAAAAGATAATAATTATTTATATATTTGGAAAGAAAAAAATTAACATTTGAATGTTCTCGCTTGTAGGATGAACAGCGATTCCCAAGCAACTGGGATGACTCCTACATAATCAGTAAGTCAGGTATGGACAGCTGAGGAATCTATGTTCTGAAAGTTTTCACGTAAAAATTAATAAAAAATTTCCTTTTTCCTCCTTTAAAGCTTTCCCTGTTTTATTCTCTTTAATGAGGAGGAGAGAATGGACGTGAAATAAAGCTTGAGGGTGATAATACCAAAACACATATTCCCACAACATCTCAAGAACCATCGTTCTTTTCAAGAAATATGCACACAGAGTGAATTATTTTGTCTCATTTTCAACAATCTCAGCCTGCTTGAGGTGAGAAAGGGACACTTCTAGGAGCAAGGACACAAGAATAGGACATATGTATGCCAAATATCTGCAAAAGTCAGGCAGTAAACTGAGCCAAAGAAGCACTTACCTGGCAATAACCAGGTTGTGAGTTGTGAGTTCAAGCCATGATAAAGACTGAGAGAGATAGAGATAGAAAGACAGACAGACAGACAGACAGACAGATAGACAGATAGACAGATAGACAGACATATATATATATATATATATATATATATATATATATATAGAGAGAGAGAGAGAGAGAGAGAGAGAGAGAGACAGAACTCTTAGTGATTTTACTGCATAATTGTTATACAGGTTGTTATCCAATATTGACATTCATGAAGATTTACACAACCAGCACATAAAGGGTTACCAGCTGTAAGCCCTGATTAAACAAATGTTTTGAAATCTGTACCTGTTCAAGACAAGGGGATCCATTTCTTTAGATATTTTTAAAAGCTCTGAGCCATTACAGATTCTAGGTGATTCCAGAGTAACACCACTAATGATTTTTACAAAGCCCAAACTTTGAGATGAAACCCACTACCTTTTCATTTTTAATTTTACTTCTATTCTTCATAATACCATAGAAACATGTATTCTATTCTTATGGATATTAAATGTTCACAGTGAGAAAGTTCTTTTTGAGATTTATAGTGTGAATTTGCCAACAGCCATTTCTCAGTGCAGTTGTAAGTAATAAATTTTGCTTCCTCAACATGAATTCCTCTGAAATACATAAAACACTTCTACTTTTAATTCTCTTTTATGCCATTTTCATAAATCTGAGCATTTTCCTCTCTTTTTTTCTCCAGGACCATGATTGCACTGCTCTCTCAGAGGCCTAGATTTTGCGGGAATGTGCTGTAGTGCTTGTGCTGCCTGTCTGTGTCACTGGGACAGGACAACATGAGCAAAGACTTGCATTGTGTGATTGTCCTTGGCTTCAGCAGCCTGAGTTCTGGGTCATTTATTTCTCCCATCTACTATGTTAATTAGTGACACTTTACATCCACTGTGTTCATCCTGTGGATGGGCCTGAAATCATCAGCACACTCTGAAATATTTCTTAGCTTCTGAATCTAACATACAGAAAAAGGATGAGGAGCCAAACAACCGTATAATATAAGATACAGGTTTATTTATAGAGAAAAGTGAGGGACAGTAAAAAGCCCTTGTTACAAGTGGGGTGCCCAGGGCTGCATGATGGTGTAGAAAGGCAGGAAGGAGTCTTGCATTTACAGAGTGAAGTTCATGATCCCTGCCTCTAAGGGTAGCCCCACCCCAGGTCTGTCTGCAACATTGACAGGAGTTTTGGTTTCAGTTTGTCATCGACATTGTAAAAACCCACTTTGCACAATATTATAAAACACAGATTTGAAAATGCGTGATACACGACTTCTAAATTCTCAAGATCCCATTTCCTTTTTCTGACCTTAAGACGGTGGTCCCTTCTCTCCCCTAGAGAGGCACAATTTAATATTTCCACATGGAAGAGTGAAATTTCCACGGATTGCCTTAGCATATTATGGTTCAGTGGCAGCAAATGTGGCCAGGGTTTTGGGAACATAAATGGAGATGTGGGGTCTTAGGACAGTCTCAGACGCTTGCATGGGGGTACCATGAATGCACACTGCATGGAAACCAGAGAGTGATAGGCTTCGGCCACCAAGTGAGGGTGGGACACCACCATGGCCTTCCACTCAGAGGTCTCCAGGATGTCAGAAACATGAAAATTGATGAAATCCAGTGTCTGGGTTTTCAACTGAGGTGCACTGTGGAGGTCAGCCAAGATAAGGATTTCCACGGCATTCTCCACAGAGAGGTTGCTGCAGAGGTGGTTCTCACACATGAGCTTCAGGCGCTCCAGACCAAACCTGGTTGCAGCCTCCAGCAGTTCAGTTGCCATGATCCCTAGGTTTGGTGCCTTTCCAGTGTACATAAAGTATATCATTTCCTTAAAAACTTCAGGATCCATGTCACTGATTTCAACACGATTCTTTTTGCTCCTTTGCTTTTCAAGTTCCAACAATGCCATGAAAACTGGAGAGCGAGCTGCTAAGATGGCTTTGTGAGCCTGGAATTCCTGGCCAGCCACACACAAGCAACAGTCTGTGAGCTGGGATCGCTCCCACAGTCCTCCTAGATCCTCTGCCAAGCAGTCCTCAGGAACCTTAACCAGCTTCATAATATTCTGGCTGGAATTATTGGTGGGATCTTGTGCTACTTTCACTTCACAGAAGAAGGAAAGCTTGTCATTGGAGAGAAGCCCATTGTTTGGATCCAAAAGAAACTCTCTAAGGATCAAATGTTTGAATCCCCAGTCCTTTCCTCGCACAAATGTATAAGCTTGTGGACTTGAGAGCACCTTGGTTTTCTCTCCTTTGGCATTCAGAATGGAAAAGGTGAATTTTGCACGAGCTACCCTCCTTGGACAGCAGATCATTCCCAGGTATAGGGACACATAATCTTTGCTTTGTTCATCAAGACCATTTGGGTAGAGTCGTAAGCACCATTTCACTTGATCATTTCCTTCAGGTGAAAAGCTTGAACTTTGAATTCAGTCATCTATTTCCTTTAGGCAAAATCTAATGTTATCAATGGTCCACAAAAAGGACACATTCACTACTTTGATGTCTGTGGTGTACCTGCTGTCCACTGCTGGCCCCTGTGACATTTCTGCTGGGCCTGCGGTACTGGAAACCCTTAACATCAGCAGAGTGAAAGTGCAGCAAGCTTGTCAAGTCACAGGAATCCAATTTCTTCTTCACCAGATGGCACAAATTTCACTGCAGTCAGCACTTCCAAGCCAGGCAGGGCAGTATGGCAATCACAAGTAGAGAGCCTAATGTATAGATTAAAAGAAATACGTATTTAGAAATAAGCTGACTGAGATTTCCTAGTATATAAGTCAACTCTGAAATGTTTCTTGATCACTCAAAGAAATAGCTCACCAAAAGGCACAGACCTGAAAATATGAAGCCTTTTTGAGTCCCGTCTGAGTTCCTTTCAGGAGGCTAATTCATCTGGGCTGGAAGCAAGGATATGAATTCCAAGTTTCAAGCAGGGAACCACCTCATCATGGAAACAGAAAGGATTCTTCCTGCTTGGTGTCCCTTTTATAACTCTTAGGACAGGATCCACCCTATGGTGGTTCTTCCCACCCTATTCTAATCCAATTGCCCTAGGTGTGTCTCACTCAAAATGTGAGAGCCAGTCAATTTTCATCCTACCTGTCTTTTCTATATGTTTATGAAAACAGTCTGTTTTACTAGCCCAGAATTTCTTTTGTCTCATTCATATGGGGGAGTTCTCTGGTCTATCGTCTTCCTGCCATTTCCAGAAGATGAGAGGCTAGGGTGGAGGATAGTAACTCCAGCATGCCACTGTTCTCAGTAGGCCCTCTGTGTTTATTCCTTTCTGGTGGTAAGGAGCAAAGCAGGACAGAGAGGTCAATAAGGCAACTTTTCCCTTGGGATCACATGTGGGTGAAAGCCATTTGCAGGGAAGTAATGTGAAGGGAGCAGATTCAAGGCTCCATGAGAAATAGGTGTGCTGGGAGTGAAGAGGTGGTTCTTCTGGGTAATCTGATACAGTGTCAGGAGCAAGGGCCATGGATTTGGGACAGGTACAAACTGTGAATATTGGCAGAATGTCTCTAAACCTAAAGTCTAGTGTGGGACAACTGTAAATGCTACTTGCTCAGAACTCTTAGATCTCCTACTAACCTAGATCACTCCTTGGACCCAATGTTTGGAAATAGTAATATTACTGAGTTCCACTGGCATATCCTGGGACATGGGTCATGCTGGGAATGCCAGGAGTCCAGGCAAAGCCTCTCCCCACCATGAGCAGCTGTCAGTCTGCCAGCCTGCAGGCTGAGAAACAAACATCACATCTTCTCCCCCTCTCCCATTAGCAAGTCGGAGGAAGTAATCTGCATGTCCCTTGAGAGGTTGACCCTAGGCAGTGTAGTAAGGAGGGGATTTCCTTCTATCATCTCTTTGAAGACCAATACTTTTATCCATGCTTTGGTTTGTTCTATATAATACGTTTTTTTTTTTAAGCTGGTTGTGTTTAACTGAGTTTCCACATACATGAAAGTATGCACAGGTATTGTGAAGCAAACCAGAGATTCTAGCACAGCCATTGGTGACTTCCTTTTTGTCTGATTTTAAAGACCTAAAACTCCTTTATCAGACTGTTTGGATTAATTTTATACTAGGTTGCTCAGTATGAATTCTCTGTATGGCAAGACATGGACAACTATTTGGAAGAAAACAAAAGACAACATGATAGGTAGGGAAGAACTCAGATTATCTAGTTTTGAAATTTATATCTCTTACATTGAGTTCTTATGTCCAATTTTGCTCTGTTTTGTTGTGTTTAATTTTATCTCCTTTGACACAAAATAACAATGCTGATTTGCTGGGTGTGGGCGAACACATCATTAATCCCAGCACTCGCAAAGCTGAGGCAGGAATATCATTGCAGTTTCAAGGACATGTGGGATTAAATACTAACTGGAATTAAAAACCAAAAGAATGAAAGGACAGAGGGAATGAGGGATGGAAGGAAGCAAGGAAGGAAAGAAGGAAGCAAGAAAGGAAGGAAGGAAGGAAGGAAGGAAGGAAGGAAGGAAGGAAGGAAGGAAGGAAGACAGGAAGAAGGGCTACCACTTCAGGGATAGATATCACTGGCTCTCTTCCAAAGCTTCTCTTTTTTCTGTTTTACATACTCAGAGTGTGCTCCAGTTTTCCACCAGACTCAGAAGTGTTACATACCCTCATGTACTTGTGGACCTTATTGGGAGGATCACAACAGTCCTCATCCCTAACAGATATTTTTTTGGCTTTTTCATTTTTATTGTTACCAGGGTAGAACTCAGGACTACTGCTTGCCAGGAAGTTGCTTATGCTACTGAGAGAAACCCCCAGCCCATCCCTAACAGATTTTAATACTCTATTTTTATTTGATTGTCTGCAAACTTGTCTATTACACATGGGCAGGTAGAATTCTTTTAATCACTGCTAACTGGAGAAATAATTGCCTCAATGATTGGTAGATTAAATTCCTCTTCTGTACCAGGAAAGCTTTCTGCCATGATGTCTACAAAGTGCTTTTAATGTCATTTGTTGTCTCTCCTTGTCACTAAGTGCCAGCCTGTACTCAGTATCTGAAGTCCTTTCCTCAAACTGGCCTAAAGTGCTCTGAAGTTTTAAAATGGATTTTTTTCTCTTGCATATCGGCTTGAATCTATTTAATGGGTTCATTTATTTCTTAGGTTGTGCTTCAACAGTTCTTGTAAACTCGCCTGTTTTTTGGCTGTGTCTGAACTAACATCACTAAGAATGTTGTGTATTTTGGTAATCTCTGTAGTTAGTTGTGGTTACTTGAGAGATTACTTCTGATTTAATATATTCCACAGCCTCATTCAATTGCCTTGTTGCCACATTGAAGTAACCTGGCATTGGATTTTCAAATTTTCCAACCTCATTTCCCCCCAGGTTTGCTTTGGTGGCCTGGGTGCCAGAGGATTAGTCTGATTTGTGTGTTCTCATGTCTTTTCTGTTTCAATTGAATTCCTGGAGTGATACTTGCTAGTTTCCTAACAGTATGAACTGAATTCCTGAACATAAAACAGAATGCAAACAATCATAAACAATATATGAATTCATGATATGTCCAATCTGTCCTCAAGGGTTAAGATTCAAAATATATTTTGGAGCAAGAAGAGTACCATGAACAATGGCCAAAGGGAAAGAGATTACAAACAAAGGAGATGGTAGATGGATCCCATCTACTGGGGGAAACTAATGCAGAAGACTAAATGAGATTTGAAAGAGAAAAATTGAAATCCAAACAAAAGCATAACCCCAAGGAAGTAAGGAATCACAGTCACCCTCAGAAATTAAGAACAAAATAAAGGAGAAATCAAAAGCAGAAGAATAAAACAAGAAAATACCAAACCAAAAAGAAAAATGAATAAAAAAAATCATTCTCTTCCAGGATTCTCTCTGGATTCATTATTAGATACCCTATGGATAGAGTGTTCTGAGTTCTGCCATTCTTTCCCTTCAAACCAGGCATGGCATTTTGATGGAGTAGTAGACAGCATTAGCCAGCCTGCCTCAAGACGAGACTCATTGGAATAAACTCATTCCAATCAATTTCCATGTGTCTGCACCCAACTAGGGTCTTCTAAAGGAAGCCAGCAGCTGTTCTGGTTAAGGTTCATCTGACTTCACTTCAACATGGCTCCCGCCAAACATTCCCTCGCGCTGAATGACAAAATCCTTCTCCATTCTGTGCCAGACAGTAAAGACCTCGTTGTCTGCTGCTTACCTACACTGCTGAGTCTCTCAGCATTGTCCACTGGCCTCACTAGCTGCCACTGTTACCATGAACAAGAGTCCCCAGGTCCAAACATCTCCCCTCACTAGTGTTGATGATTTCCTGATTCTGCAATAACTAGCATAACCAAAATAGGTTCAATGCCCATATCAGTACAATACCCAACAATCATCATTGCTGTGCTCTCTTAGTTAATTTTAGGTTCTGAGTTTTATACAAGATATGTGCACTAGTTGTAATTCAGTTGTGTAGATTTTGATATTTCTACATTAAGAAGATACTTTCTTGTACAAAATGACAAGAAAAATAGAAATCATGGGTAATTTGCAATTAATTTTCTTCTCTATAGCTTCTTTTATAGATATCAGCATAACACTCACTATCAGAGATAAACACACACACACAGACACACACACACACACACACACAGCACACACAAAGTGTATTAAAACTAACGAAATGGAAGCTCTTGAAGTGCCTTTTAAATAGGGTAAAATTTTTCCAAAATTAACCCTTCTTAGAATATTGTATAAGTTTCTTCCTTGGATACACTGTGGAATTCCATTTGCATGGAAAATGTCATCAGCCTTGTAGGAACATTTTGTACATTTTTTCACTAATTCTCTTTGTGTAGCAATGCCTTTTAAACCAGGCTGATGAAAGGTGGGAAAATGCTGCTTTTGTTTCTAATCCAGCCCTAGAGCTGTGTTAGAACTGAATGGGCAAAAATTTTTCCACATTCTTGTGTACACATACAAGAGTATTGCCTGGCATATACCTTGTGATACGTAGTAAGTTGCTGTTTATTGAGATTGCAAGATGACAGCATCAAGAGTAGGATGAATTACAAGTGCAAAATGGAAAGTAAAGAGGAATAGAATCTTTAAAGATTCAGGGTTACAGTACCTAAGAATTTAGACCGAGATGTCTTCCACAGAGGTGTGATAAGGCTAATCCATGTGCCTGCTTTCAAGGTCAGGTACATTTGGCTCCTGTTGCTTCCCATTTTGGTTAGAAAACTCTAAATCTGTTCCATGTTTTCCTAGGGTTGTTGATTTTCTGAGTGAGAGATCACTACATGCTAACTATACACATAAATAATCAGTCATATTGTGATTAGACTTGAATGAAGGAAACGAAATGGTTCATGCAAGTTTACTATTTGTCACTAGTCTCCTACCACTTTCATCATCCGGGACTCCTGGATAGATACTTTATTTATTAGTGTGTTGTTTGCACATAAGAGTTGGAAGTGTCACAAGATGCCTTCACTAGTAGCTCGAGAATGTGTGACACACAACTTTGGATGATACACGTCAATTGTTGCCTCCGGGAACTTTGGCAGGCCTTTCAGTGCTTGCCAAATGCAGTTGGTGATTTCCTTGCTTCAGAATGCCTGTACAGTT